CTGAAGAACATACAAGGTTGCTGCTATAACTTAGTTCACATATTGGGAATATGATGTGCACTCCTTTCATGATTGCTTTGATACCAGAGGCTGTAACTTCTGATAATAATTGTTGTCCATCCACTCCCAGTTAGTTTCCTAAAAGCAATTTCATAATATTCATCTCAAGGCCTTCCATTACTGCCATACACAAACATCAAAAGTTCTCAGCTCAACTCAAAAGCCCTTTCAAAAAATGACCTTATGTTTGATCATTTGGTCAGTTTTTGGTTGACAATTTTCTGGCATTCCTTTATAGATTAACAAAATATTTTTTTGAAATCCAGAACATGATTTTCACATTTTATTTCTCAATGACAGATAATTTGGTGAATTATATTAACCTTTTTCTATGTTCTAGCTGTTGAAATATTGCAAATTCTTTGGTTGCTATTTGCAAGTCAAGATGTTAGCCACAATGGTGGTGAGTTCAGCTGTCATGTCCTTATGTGGAAGAGCACAAAAAAATCTCACATTTTCACAATTTTTTAATGTTGTGAACAATTTTTGCCTAATCTATTGTACTGAAGTAAGAAAGGAAAGTGACTGTTACCAGGTATATTATCATATTACTTCTCATCCAAAGAATGCCTTTTAGAAATAAGAATCTATAGGGATGTTCCAAAGAGCATTGTTGTTCCTCTCTTGCTGTATATTTAATTTTTATCACATCTTCTCAAAGAAAATATTTTAAGTATGCTTGCACATTTGTTTTCACATTTTAAAATTCCTTTAAATAATGGAAATATGACTTAGAATTATTCAATATTAACACTTCTAAATTTAGTTTTGTCAGTGGAGATCTTAAACTATTGCTATCTGCTTATTAGTTTGTAAAATATTTTCATTCACCTTACAGATAGTATTCACTTTATTTTAAATATATGTGTAAATGTTTGAATGGTAGTTATTAGACCCAAAGTAAGTGCTCTTGTGCTATAGGGAGACTTGATATATGGAATATTGACAAGAGGACAATTAAAAAAAAATTAAATACACAAAAAAATATCTTTTAAAATTGAGTCTAGTACAATTCAAAAGCTGTTCCATTACACATATACATGAAGGATATCTGGAAAAAAGATTTTTAAAAAAGTGAATTCAGTATACAATTTTCCTTAAAGCAACTTAGTATAATTTACCAATTCTTATCTTGCTATCTGTTAATCTTAAAAAATTAAAAAATAAACTGATTTTATAGCTTTCTCTCTTTCACTTGGGGTTTGAATATTTTTTCATAATCTATTGCTAAAATGTAAAAAAAAAAAAGTAGATGAGCTTTTCGCTACAATAAATGTAGGATTAAGCTTTAATAAGTTAATATTAAAATTTTAATTAATAAATTAATATTGAAATTTAAATACCAACAATTATCTTCTAACTGGACTAATTTTGGAATTTTTAAAATATTGACAGTTTCATTACAAATTCAAGTATCTTTTCCTCACTTTATAGAAACAATTCTTTAACCTTTATCACTCTGTGTGATTTCATTTGCTGTACAAAAAGTTAATCCTGCTACTGAAGGTTAATCTGATCCCTGAATTTGTTTAAATCTCATAGTTGTGTTGTCATATCCTGCTATGGTAACACCTTTGAATGAAATTAACAATAAGGTTACTGCAATTGAGAAGCATTGAAAAAGAATGCAGCGGAAAGGAAAATAATAATAATGCAGTGTGCTAAAGGTTAATGCTGACATTGTTTTATTTTAAAACTTGTGTTAAAAATTTTACTTGTGGTTTTAAGCCAATAACAGATTTTCTTATCAATCATGTGATATTCCTCATGTCCATTAATGAATAATAATTTTTTTTCTGTTTTTTTTATTATACTTGTACTTATCTGTGATAAATAATTCTTCTGCTCTCTCCTTGAGCTCAATGTCTTCTACATGTAGTCATAGTGAAGTTATTTGTAGTTATTTTTTATACATTATAACTTAAATTCCTCTTTGTTTAAACAAATCTGTGTTCAATTCTCACCTGAAACAATTCTATTTAATTTTTTTTTTTTTTTAATTTTCAAAGTTATCAATAATAATAATAATATAATAATTTATATTTCATGTATGAACATGCCCATAACATTTTTTAAATGTTCTTTATTCATGATCAAATCATGTTAATAAAATTACTTGAAATAATAAACTAGTGCTATACTATTTTTACTTAAATTTCTCTTCAATCATTTACGTTATGTTTAAAGAATATATACAGATTTATATTATTGCCTTTCTCCTGTTGCATTAAAGTTTTAAATATCTTTATATTTGAGCTGATTTCTATGCAAAATTTTACTTGTTCTTTCTATTATACTATTATGTCTAATCCTGTCCTTTTTATAGCATCGTCTCACTGATATAGAAGTGAGAGAGAGAGACACTGACGTCAACGCAGTGACAACAGTTTGTTTCATGCATGAATTCTTCCTTCAGGCCTGAAAATTACTTTCAAGTGTAAAACAGACTGTTGCCACTCTGTCTTAACCTCACTGGCCACTTATATTTACATATGCTCTATCCCTGATATTGAGCACTTTAAACCCATAAATGTAGCATATATATACACACACACACACACACACACAGGATGAATGAAAAGTAACTCCCCATTTTAAAATACTCTTTACAAGAAATGGATACAAGAGGAAAGCATGAGGTTTTATTTAAAATTCAATATGGGCACCAGATTTCACTATCGGCTTCTTGAGCCACCCAGGAATCACATCAACTGATTTTGCCAGGAACTCTTATGACATAACTTCTTGTATTCACCTTTCAAGTTTTTCCAGAGTTTTGGTTTGCTATAGTAGACTTGCTCCTTTAACCAACCCCAAAGAAAAATAGTCACAGGGTGTTAAGCTAGGACTCCTGGCTGGCCACTCATATGTAAAAGGAGAGTTACTTTTCACTCACCCTCTCTCTGTGTGCGTGTATATATATATATATATATATATATATATATATTAGGGACTTGAATAATTTTTCATCTCAACAGAATGCAAAAAAGCACTGGACAGTTGTTTTGTCCTATTTTTTCAGTGGGGCTCATCAGCAGTGTGCATCCACTACTGCGAATCGAACCTGGACCATTATGATACAACACAAGCATCATGCTATAGTCACTTAGTTTCTTCTTCATCGCCAAGGCCCATTGGCCCAATGGTATGATGCTTGTGTTGTATTGCAACGATCCGGGTTTGATTCTTGGTACTGGGTGCATGCTGCTGCTAAGTACCCCCTCACACCCCACCCCCACACCAAAAGGATGAAATGGGCCGCCTAGTGCTTTTCTGCATTCTTTTGAAGTTTCTTGGTCTGGACATGATGACTTGTTATGAAATATATAATTGTTATATAGTAGATCACATTTTGGTTGACATGATGTAAGGCTCTTACAGACATAAAAAAGCAGCTTCTAGCAAATATGAATGATTTAGTAAATTGTGATACATTTTGTTTAATCAAAAAAAGGCTTAAATACTATAATAAAATGTATTTTGCTTTAAATCTATTTTACATACTCTTTTTTTTTTTTTGTCCCCTGAAAACTTTCTTTAATGGGTCCTGTTCTCTTCTATGCTTTGAAAGTGTCTATATTTATTCTCATTGTGCTTGTTTTTCTCGGATTCCTTTTCCTTTTATTGACTGTTACTTTTCCTTTATTTACTTTTTACAGCTCTACATATCCTTAGTGATTATCGTACAGTTACCTTTGTTTTTGCTTGATCTGCTTTCCTTATAGTTGTATGTTTCTGAAGTTATTTCTACATTTGTCATCATGAAATTTCTTTTTTACTTTAAGATTCACTATAATGACATCTGTTGTTTGCAACTATGGAATGCTTTTAAATTGTGATCAGTCTTGATTGACAGACCAAAGATGAAACTAGAATTTGGACCTTATTGTTTTTCTTTTTAATTGATGTTGCAAAGCATGAAAACTTAAAACTTTTCAAACACCACTTCAAAAGTGTTCTTTTCCTTACATTTCTGTTTCATATTTTTGTTTTACAGCACATTGTATCACTTCTCTTCTTCCATAACCTCTCTTCATTATAATATCAAATGCATTTAAATAAACATTTTTAAATTATTATTTGGCATTGTTATTTAGTAAACATCTGGTCTGGTGCTTCTGCTATCTTTTTAGAGATTCTTGATAAAATAAAAGAATCTGCAATTATTGATCCTGACTTGGCATCTTGGCTTCAGTCATTTTCTCACCACCATAACATAGCTTCCCTGTGCCTTTTGTTTTATAAATATTTCCATGGTAGCTGATGAGCTTTCCTCTTTGGTACATAAATGTTATACCTGACATACCTATTCTATTATTAATAGACTCTCCCACACATAATAAGTAGTAGTAGTAGCGGTTGCCAGTTGGGCTCAGTGGTGTTGAGTGAGTCTGTCGGACATTGAAATATCAACCATCACAACTAGATTGCTGTGTCATTTAACTCTTATTTCAAGTTCCTAACCTTTTGTATGTTGAACCTAATTTAGGACGACTTATTGAAATACAAGCCTCCACTGTGAAAACTACAACAATAAACTTTATGAATTTAAGGATACTAATAGATTGGTGGCAAGGTCTCATCATTTTACAGTTGAAATCATGAGATGTAATGATAAATTCTATAAGTTTCTTCTCTCACACTTCTCATTTGTAAGAACTCTCTTCCATCTTGCTTTCCAGTCAACTTTGACCTTCAGAAATTTAAGTGTTTCTCTTTATCTTCTGTCTTCTTAATTCCTGTTTTTTTGTTCTCTATACTTAATAATGCTTTCTTTTTCTAATATTCTCTCACACTCATTAACTCCTTGCATCTTAGTGTCTTTATTGCCTTGCTTGGGGTTAAATAATTAATAAAAAAAAAAAACTACATTTATGTGTCTGTAAGATTTCAGTGGATAAGTTCTTTTAATATTTCTTTTCCTTTTTCTCTTTCCATAGTTTGTGAAAAGGCCAAAGTCTGCAGCAGAACATCTTCTAGATATTGAACTAGTTAAAGGAAATAAAGGTAAGTGGTTTTCAGACTTGTTTTTTGTGTAAGATAAAAATAAAGAGTTGAAAAATAATTTACAAATGCTGCAAATAGAACTGTTTTCAACTGTAAACTCATTTATTTTTTGTGTTAGGTGCATTTTAACATACTCTCAACAGACTATTAATATAATATCCTTTTTCTGCATTTAAATTTTGTTGCAAAAAAAAGACATTATTCACACTACAGTTAAGAAATTTATTTTTGCTAGTTAACTCTGTTAATGGATAAGTACACTTATCCATTTTTATAATACAGATTATGATACCTATGATATATAATTGATAATTTCTCAGTATATCTGTGCATACAAATCAGATTATATGCTGCAATATAAGTTACTAATAAGATATATTTAACTTGAAATGTTTATTTATGTGGTTATATTAATCAGTTAACAATAAACAGATTGTATTACCTTTCATACTATATGCTGTTAATAGTTTTTATTTTTTAGCTTTATTCCTTAGTATGCTTTAATCTTACTCCATGTTGCCTTGAATAAGTCTGATTAGTTACCAATTTCTAAAACACTTCAGTCAACAAAAGAATGATACTGAATGACCTTAAAAATATTCCAGAATGTAGTTTTTATTGCTTTTATTTTCTTTCATAAAAATTTACTAATAAAAATTTTTACATTCCCTTTTCAGAATGAAGATCATTTTTTTTTTTTTATAACCAACCAAATAGTCTTTAAAAATTATTTTTGTTGTTAAAGAAGTTACTTTAATACCATTTAACGCAAAGACGTAAATTTCATTCTTGACTTGTTAAAGAATATTTAGCCTGTGGAGAGAAGCTCTAGGAGGTTTCGTAGACGTGGCAACTGCTGTTGATAATCATACCTAGTTGTTGGATTAAATGCTGCACAGTATGAATTCATTTGAACATATCTTGTTTAGATGCTCTGTGATTGCCCCCACCCCACTAGAAAAAACATTCTTTCGGAAAAAAAAAAAAAAATATCCAACAGTTACAATTAGTAATCATATTAAAATATAACTACTTTGATTTAAGAATATGTTATCTAAGGCTAAACATTTTACATACAAACCTTTTCTTTTTCCTGTATATAAATATACATAAGTGAACTTGGTGTTTTTGTACCAAAATTATTATCTATTCTGATGTTGGGTTTTAAATAACCCACAAAGGGAATATAAGTTGTTTAAAAAAAAAAAAAAATGCATCATTCTAGAAATGGCACTGCTACAAGATTGACAACTTACTGTATTAATATCATTTCCACTTCACTGTAAATCACTGATTTTAAATTCATGAATATTTATTTAAAGTAAAGAAACAGAAATGTAAAGTTAGTGTGAGTTGCTATTTCTGTTTTGTGTTCTGTGCCAGTCAGCTGCGATTGTTCTTATTAGACTCTTTAATTTATTTCATTTTTCTCATATCTAGAATTCTAACAAATTATTCAGTATTTAAAGTTAAATGTATGCATTTAACAATACTGTAGAAAGGTTAAGTACAGATTTAATAGAGAAAAAAAAACTACTTGAAAACAAGCATTTAATATCTTCCTATATTGTTCATACTCAGAAGTGTTAGAAAGTGAATTTAGCACAGGTTGAGAGAATGTTGAGTTTTATATAAGAAGCATTCATGAACAGTAGTTGTAAGTGATTTACATTTCTCTTGTTCTGTGTTATATTTTTCTCTCTATAACTGCTGATATTGTAAGAATATTTTAATGTGTTTTATTCATTTTTTTTTCTAAAATATTTACATAAAAACTATCTTTTTATTTTGTTTCTTAAATGTCTTGAAATCCTTCTATTGACTCAGCATGATTCAAGGGAAATAATTATTAAAAAATCCTTGTACTGCTGCATTGTCAGATAATATTAAATTCATTCATTAATTTTAATACAATATTTACATCTCTGTCTATAAAAGTAACTTTCTTTATCATTAAAGATTGCTGATTAGAAGTTTCAACATTTTTGTATAAAACTTTTCTCAAACTTTATTTGTTACTAATTTCTGAGACATTATAGTGTTGTTGTTGTTGTTGTATTTGTGCATGGGTGTTACAGGTTTAGGCTTTAGTATTGCTGGTGGCATTGGCAACGAACACATTCCTAGTGACCATGGTATTTTTGTGACTAAAATAATTGATGGAGGAGCTGCTGAACAAGATGGTCGCCTACAAGTCGGTGATCGACTTTTGGCGGTAAGTACATTGCTTTCTCCCCGTGTCATTTTTTCTCCTCTGACCCACCTCCCAAAATGCACATTTGTGATAAATTTTCTTCATGTTGATAATCTCTTTATCAAAATTATTAACAATTGTTCAGATGTTATATGTTCCTTTTTTTAAAAAAAAGAAAACTGTAATGGCTTAATGTAATATTGATGCATTATTTATAAAGATATTATAGACTTTCATAAAGATCTTTTTGTTGAATATTTCACAAGGCTTTACATGTCAAATAATGATCTTTTTGTTGAATATTTCACAAGGCTTTACATGTCAAATAATGATGCCAAGTTGTCATTTTCTGTCTTTATATTCCTTCAACTCATCTAACATAAAAATATATTTCATTGTTGTTTCTAACAAATATGTTTGTCTGGCACAAATGAAAAAAAAAAATCAAAATCAATTGCAAACTTGCAAACTTACACATTTAAGACTGATTTGAAATTCTTTTCTTGCAATAAATGAAATGAATAGAATAATAATTTTACATGTCATATTTAGGTATTGAAAAATATTTGAAGAATTTCTCCAGTACAAGAAACAGTGTATTATTTTCCAAATAAATCAAATTCCATGAACAAATATAATATATGAAGAAACATCAATTTAACAATATAACAGGTTAAGTCTATATAACTCATAATAATGCTAGGGAATACTTTATTATGCAAGAGGGTGCTGAAAAATTCTTAACCTGTGACTCTTCCCAAAATAAGCCTAGTTATTTTGGGAAGTAGTTTGGGCCATGAACTTTTCAGCACCCTTTTCATTATACTGTAATGGGGTGCTGTAAACTTCTTGGCCCAACTAAGGAGAGATTAAATCTAATGTTTGCACTGATTTTGAGAAGTGGGTTGAGCCAAGAACTTTTCACCACGTAATATATTTATACATCAATGAGTAATTTTTTTTTTTAATTTGAAATTCCACAAATAAATGCAAATTTTCAAAATCTTTTATTTTTTATTCAAAGGTCAATGATGTGGATTTGGAAAATGTGACCCATGGGGAGGCTGTCGCTGCACTGAAGGCTACGTCTGAGGTTGTGACATTGACTGTAGCCAAATCTTCCTACATTCATGATGCAGTACAACCAGATGCATCATCACCATGTCAAGGTGTGTTCTTGATAATCTGTGATTTGTCATTTTTTTTTTCTTATCCTGTCATCAAGGATACATGGCACAGTGGATAAAGGTGTTGGTTAGATCCAGTGACAGGATCACAGTTAAGGAAGTGGAGAACTTGTAGAGGGGAATTAACAGGAGATAACTGATAACTGACATCCATTAAAGCATGGCACGTAGAACTAGAACAGTCTACCCCACTGAGCGAAATAAAGGATTCCGTTCGACATTTCAATCACCTGAAGAAGGCTGGTGCATACAACGGCCGAAATATTGTAATAAATATGGCAACAAAGAAGAGGACAATAGTCCGAATAATGTAAATAGTGTACAAAATACCTCATCTCAGAAATATAGACAGATACTGAAAGGCCAAAACGTTGTAATAAATATGGCGGCGACAAAGATGAGGACAATAGTCTGAATAATGTAAATAGTGTACAAAATACCTCATCTCAGAAATATAGACAGATACTGAAAGGCCAAAATGTTGTAATAAATATGGCGACAAAAATGAGGACAATAGTCTGAATAATGTAAATAGTGTACATAATACCTCATCTCAGAAATATAGACAGATACTAAAAGGCCAAAATGTTGTAATAAATATGGCGGCGACAAAGATGAGGACAATAGTCTGAATAATGTAAATAGTGTACATAATACCTCATCTCAGAAATATAGACATATCCTTTTACTTTTGTTCTTCAGTTATCACTTTCAGTTCTTTAGATTCTTTAGAAACAGAAGCAATTGGCTCAACTTCATTCTGCACATGAAGCAAATTTACCACACACTTTTTTGCTAATTAGAATAAGAAACATGAAATTAAAAAAGAATGCAAAAATTTGGTTCAGTTTCTGCAACAAAATAAACAAAATGCAGTACTACATCACTGAAATTGTTGTCATCAATTAATCATGTGGTTTGTTTGTATACACCCTCAGATCGACATCATGGAACCTGGTTATTAGAACAATGAGTATCCTTCATGCAAGAAACCAATTACTCACCCACAAGAGTAATAGATTCAATTTCATTCTGTTTTTCTCAAAAAAACTCATTACCAAGACTTATTAGTCTTCCTGTCCTGGGTCAGCTGAGCTGGCTCCTTCCAATGAATTCACTGTGACCTGCATGAGGGCAAGACATTCAGTAAGAAATGGATTCATACCTTTCCCAAGGGTATTGGCACATAAGTGAATGTAATGAATTTGACTGGAATTTGAACTCAGCTCTCAGATCCCTCAATCTGAGCCACTATCCATTACTCCACTGTGCCTCCAGGTTATCAAGAGTTAGGACTATTTCATAAATGACCTCACAGGGTCCAATCTCAAAGTGACACTGTTGTCTCTATCCTCTTTTACAAAGAGCAATATGGGTATAATGAGGATTTGTCTCAAGGAGATCTGATTTTTCAACAAGTGGGTTGTATTTTAATTGTTTGACATTATGCCTCAAAAAGAAAACAATATTGGAATACAACATTCAATTGTCAATCACCATTGGAAATTAAGGATTCAAATGAGTAGTATTATTAGTGGTCAATATTAATGTGCATATTGAATATAATGTATCTTTTAAGACAAGCCCTCAATGAGTCATAGGCAAGTGTTGTGATTTAAGTGCTGATATATAATTCCTATTTTCACACTGCCCATTGTCTTGAGGCTTATAAGGGATGATCTGACTACTGGAAATGCATAAACTGTCTTCCATTTGATGACATGAATTAAGTACCTCTGCCCAACTACATGAATGTAGGCATGCCAAAAATAGGAAATAAGTGTCTAAAACACCAGATCACTGAGGCAACATCTCTGAACAAGCAAAAGAAAAATCATTAGTAGAGAATGGTATGTTCCTTATTCTAACAAAGTATAGCATTCATACAAAGCCTGAATAGCAAAAAAAAGTGTGCAATCTATTTAACACATTGGAACCAATAGCAAAAAAACTGTGCCTGAGACAAAGAATCTGCAGTAATATTTTGTCAAAACTGTAGTAAACAAGTTCAGTCCTCTGTTAATTTTATCATTCTAATTCTGTTTAGAATCAAACTTGAATGCCACCGATTTTTAATCAGTGTGAAGAGTAAAGTGCCATCCAGTTAAGTAGCATCTTCACTTGCTTCTATTATAGCAAATGCTTACCTTTCTCTTGAAAAGAAAGTCCCTGGTTTACCAGTTTTATTTAAGGTGGCAGTGATAGCATAATTAGATGCCACCATCTCTAAAATAAGGAGTATTGTTTAATTAGTAGGATGCACAACAGCATTTTCTATTTCAGCTTTCAATCATTCAGATGCCTTTTCATCCATTTTGGGTAGTTGAAGAAATGTCTTCGCTTGTACAAATAGAACAATCTTCTCAAAGTAATTGACAATCCAATGGGAATAATACAAAAAACATGCCCATAAAACTCTGTGTGTGTGTTTTAAAAAAAGGGTGTGTAGGTAGTGTAATGATTATCAGTACAGAAAATGGAATTGGGGAACCATGTTCAAATTACCATCTAGTTTATTGCATTCACTTTCACACTAATGCCCCTGGGAAAGGCATGATTCCAATTCTTCTTCCTCTGGCTGTGGTGCAGAAAATGATATTAGAGAGCCGAGTTCAAATTCCTGCCTACTCTGTTGCATTCACTTCACACCAATGCCCCTGGAAAAGATATGAATCCATCTCTTCTTTCTCATCACCCTACAAGTGATCTTATATCCTGACGTTTTTAATAGCCATTTAAATTTACCTTCAATAATAGTATGACTTGTGTCTAGAAAAAGTTGAAGAGAATGTGCACTTAACATTATTGTAGGTCAAATTAAACCTCTCAGCAGCCTCAGTAAATCTGAAGTTAATATTATATTCTTCCTTACTTAGACTTTACATAGTTCACTGTTTGAAAGTAATCGGCTGTCATTTTTTACTTGGTAATCACTACAACTTGAATTATACCTCTACATTAGTAACTATTGGTTTACATTTCTTTTAACAAGAAATTGAGAAGGGCAAACAGAGAATAGAGCCAATCTGCATGCTTTTAATGGAAGTTTCTCTCCAACTGAAATTTACACATATTCTCTATTGTTTCCTAAAGTCTTGCCCAACTCCTGACATCAGTACATAAATCAGACAACAGTGTCTCACATTTTGATATTGTTATCTCCTCAGTACTACATCCATTAAATAATAACTTGAAATCTTAGAGATCAATGAAATTGCTACTGGAGATAGATACAGTGTTAGAACATGGATGTGTGCAAATGTGACATCCAAACAAAGGAGTTAGTATAAAAGGTTTCTGTTATTATTTAATCCTTCTTACAGTTGTAGATAAAATTTCTGAGGTAGCTGCCATCATAAGAAGAGTAGAAAAATTTAGTGTAGAAAATGTTCCAATAATTGCAGAATGGCAGTTCTGGTGAAGGTGCCTATTTTCCTCCAACAAGAAATATCTCTGTCCCTTAGAGACAGCAGCTGATGCTTGGTTTCCAAACAATCTGTCAGTATCTGTCTATATAATATCAACAAAAATTGCAATATGAGCTCTGGTAAAAAACATGCAATGATAACAGCAAAAATTGCAATATGAGCACTGGTAAAAAACTGTTGCTTAAGACATTAGGTTTATAATACCCAGAAATTCATTCCTCAAGGACACATGGCACAGTGAATAAAAGCATTAGTTAGATCCAGTGACAGGACCCAAAGAATGTGAGTTCAATACCTGGTTACGGCGGTGAGAGTTAAGAACTTTGAGAGGGGAATTAACAGGCGATAACTGACATCTATTAGACATGGCACGTGGAACTAGAACAGTCTACTCAGTGAGTGAAATAAAGGGTTCAGTTCAACATTCCAACCACCTAAAGAAGGCTGGAGCGTACAACAGCCGAAACATTGTGATAAGCATGAGGACAATAGTCCAAATAATGTAAATCGTGTACACCCTGTCAGTATTAGTAAATATGTCATCATTATCAGTGGAAGGAGTTGTTACTGTTGCACTGACGATTGTCTAGAATGAAGAATATAATACTGAAATCTTGAGATTGTTTCACAACTTTTGCCTGATCGATGACAGTTGCATTTTTTTTTCTCAAGCAGTCACTGATGGATTATATGAGATATTATACTGCTAATAAAAAAAAAAAACATTATGTATAACAAAGAACCACTCAAGGCATAGAGTTGCAGAATAAGTGGTAAGAATCACAGTCTAGGGATATATCATAAAGATAAGGGTTAATCTTTGATTTGAGTAGATTAAGATTGTAGTGATAAGGGAAGCATCCTCTTGGGAGTTAATTCTACAAAGTAGCGGTTTGTGGAAACAAGCTATTCGAGTAAATCTCACCAATGGAATATGAAGGTGGTTCGCTGGCGTGTATGGCTTGACGGGTCTTAGCTGTGAAGGTCAGAACTGGTGGAACTTAGAAATATAGTTCGTCTGAACACTTTCCATCGTAATGACATTAGCATACTGAGCGGTTTGCAGTATTTTGTCTGTGGGGAAAGGGGTTGTAGGATGAGAAATATTTTATCACCCACATGGACTCTGAGACACTTTTGAACTTTCTCAAGGCTGGAAAGTGAGTTCCCGTCCAAATATGACAACAGTATGCTATTTTTGACCTCTTAGTATTAACAAAAACTTCATACTTAGCCACTTTCTAATATCTATTTCACTTATTCAGTGCATTATTATTAAAAAGAGTGCTTAATAATAAAATTACCACACAATTCTGTTAAATCAATTTAAAGAGTATGTTATAGAATTATTACTACTATTTTATAAAATCAAATTTGAAAGATTTACAAAAATCTACTGATATTTAAAATCTTGTTACATATTTTGCTTAATTCTCATGTACTCTAAGTTTTTTATAAATACAGATAATTTAAGACATATTCGCTTCTTTTTATTTAACATTTACTCAAAATATCATGACACTTATCCATGAAAATATTTATAATGGTACAACTTGCTTAATTGAAGAAGTAGTCATGTTTTAATTGCTACTGCTTCATTTTCCTCTTTACTATTACTATATTGAGAGTGAATATATAGCCAGAATTGTTTGGAGATTTTAACCTTCTTTTTGTATACTTGGACTCTTCTCAAATTATAGACAATAATGAGTTGAACTAAATTTATGAGGTGGTCATGAAATGTTCTCAACACAACCAAGAAAAACATTGTATAAATACCTGGCATTTCAATTTGTGCCTCTGTTATACAGATGATTGTAATCTTAATTTATACAAATTTTAGACATATCTCAGCCAGATCTTTTAATCTATGAATTTGGTCATCTCTGTTAGTTATTGTCTTTTCTTCCTTTTTTTTTTTTTTTTTCCAGTCATAAACTCATTGGAGAAATGATCTGGATATGTGTTCAACCTTTCTGTTTACTTTTTAAATTTTACTTCATGAGTTTCATTGTTTTTAGGAATATTTTCTTAACTCCAGTTAAATGTATAAATTATGAAGTAAAATTGTGCTGAAAAGTTCTTGCCCCAAAATAAGATGCCCCCCCCCCACCCCATGTTTGATAAAGTATGTCACAAAGAACTGATGGAAATGCCAGGAAAGCTCAGTTTATTTGGGAAGGATATTAGAATCATCCAGAACTTATAATGGGAGCAAACGACCTGCATATGAATAGAAAATGAATCCAATAAATATACAAAAAATAGAAAGGGGCATAAGACAAGGGTGTGTCTTCTCACCAGACTTATTCAATCTTTACAGTGAGGTGATCCTGAGAAAATTAAAAGTTCTACCAAGATTCATTATTACTGGCCACAATCTTAAGAATATAAAATGTACAGATGACACAGTGTTGATAGCAAACATATAAATGAAGATATAGAATCCTCTTCAGAAGGTAGTAAAGAAAAGGAGTAAACATTATTTGTAAGAAGGTAAAATGTATGGTTGTCAGCAAAAGAAAGGGGCCAGCATGTAAATTAAAAACTGGAGATACAAAAATTAAGTAAATAAGAAAATTTAAATATCTGGGAAATGTTTTAACAGAGGATGGAAAATACAACACCAAAATCCAAAAACGCATTGGAATAGTGAAAACAGAATATTAAGAAACAAGAACATTTCCTTTAAAACTAAGAAAAGTGCTGAACTGCTATGTAATATCAGTCCTATGTGGCAGTGAATGCTGGACCATCTCTCAACTGATGAAGAAGAGACGGGAAGCAACAGAAATATGGTTTTACAGAAGGATGCTGAGAATACTGCAGATGGAAAATGTGAGCAACGGTGAAGTTTTAAATAAAATGAAAACAAAAAGGACATTTATACTTAAAATCAGAAAGAGACAATTGAAATTTGTAGGCCAATTATTTTTGAATTTAAATAACTAGGAAGTGTCTTAACAGGATAAAAAAGTGCAACACTGAAATTCAAAAGCCACATTAGTATAGCTAAAGATACATTCCAAAAGCTAGGGTATTAAGAAACCAAAAAACTTTATTAGAAACAAAAAAGAATACTGAACTGTTATGTGATATCTGTCCTCTTATATGGCAGTGAATGCTGGACAATCTCCTCAAAGATGAAGAAGAGGCTTTAGGCAACAGAAATGTGGTTCTATAGAAGGATGCTGAGAATACTATGGACTGAATATGACAAACATGAGCAATGACTAAGTTTCAGGGAAAAAAAAGTTTGTTTTTTTCCTGCAAAAAATTAATATAGTTTTATACGAAAAACAATTTGCAAGACATTAATCTCTTTAGATTAACATGAAAAATACTATGTATATTAACTTCTAAGACATTTTAAAATATTTCGATAATGATAATTATTAATTATTGTCTTCATACCAATTGTAACTGATGCTTTTTTTGGACACCAAGTGACAGAAAGTCATAGCTCTCCTCAATCTTCTGACTGATTTTTAGGAATACTGTTTGGATGATTTTGACTTGTCATTTTCATTATCCACTTCTTTGGTAAGTTTTCTATGTATTTCCTACCTTTTCTCTTTAAATTTTACTATATGTTCTATTCACTTTGTTTACAATGCTTTTAGCTTGGATTGGATTATCCATTTGAATTCAAGGCTAAAAAAGAATTTTACAAATTTTGTTTTTCTCTGACATATTCTGGTTTGTGTGTATCCCATTAGTTTTCATTGTCAAATTCTAGTTGTTAACATCAAACTCCCCGTGAATCAACATTTCCTAACCACTTTTACCTGTGCTTCTTGTTCTCCTGTACTGAGTTATATTCACTTATTATATGATCAACTGTCTACGCTCTATCTCCACACATTTAATATTTTGTTGTGTCTTCTCTATGTTGACCTTAGTAGAATTGGGTCTTATTGAAGTGTTTTTGATAATCGTGACTTGAAATTGTTTCGTTTCTCAATTGTAATTCATTCTATTTGTTTCTTGATCGCTTATAGAACTGGACCTGTTAACATTTGTAGAACAGAAAACTTACTTAATGGGAGACTACTCTTTATGGCTTCATTAAGAAGTTACTTCCCTTGGAAAATTTCCCGTCAAGTTTAATTACTTGATTCAGAATAAACATATTTTTAGAAATACATTTTCTTAATGTTAGAAACACATGCAATATTTGTTCAACAGTTTCATTTTAATTTTTAATGTTTTATTTTAAGTTTCTTTTTCATTATTCAGTTTTTCATAAAGTTAATACACTATTTTCTTCTTAAATCATTTTAAAAAGTTTCAGTTGCAAGGTTTGTTTTTTTTTTTTTTTTTTTTGTAAAGCTTAAAAATTACTTTTCTGTTTCCAGCCAGGGCAGATGACGTTGTTCCTGAGGCTCCACCAACCACACCAGCAGCCCCTGCAACAACAGTAACCCACAATACCTCAACATTCCAACGACCCACCACACCCCGACCACTTACTGATCCAGATTCACCGTAAGTATAAGTATTTAAAATTTGAACTGAAAAAAAAAAAAAACAATTTTTGCAGTTATACTGAATTAAGAGAAAAGGAAGAAATAAAAAATGATAAAATTACTCAACTGTTTATTTTCAACTTAAAAATATTTAGTGTTCAAAGCAAAGGATTCTCTTTGGGTGATGAATATTCTTTTTCAGCTCATATTTTTAAATTTTGGTTTTACATAGAAATTATTCTATGAACAAAATAATAAAAAAAAAATAAAAAAGTAATAAATTCAAAGAATAAAAACATTTTCAAAAACGTTACTCTAAAAAAAGTCTATTTCGACTCATACTTTTTGGAGCAGTAATTTTCTTTTTAAACTGACACGTAATAGTTATTTCCCCTTATATTTATCATTTGAACATAAGACAAAGTGATAATCAGTAGTAAAACATTTTTAAAAATCTTTTTATTTTAAAAAATTTCTTTACTTTTTTTTTTCTTTTGTTCTTTGTTCTCTCTCTTTCTTTTTGTTCTCTCTTTTTTCCCTTTATCGTTCTCTCTTTTTTCCCCCTTTATCGTTCTCTCTTTTTTCCCCCTTTATCGTTCTCTCTTTTTTCCCCCTTTATCGTTCTCTCTTTTTTCCCCCCTTTATCGTTCTCTCTTTTTTCCCCCTTTATCGTTCTCTTTTTTTTCCCACTTTATCGTTCTCTTTTTTTTCCCCCTTTATCGTTCTCTTTTTTTTTCCCTTTATCGTTCTCTCTTTTTTTTTTTCCCCTTTTCCGTTCTCTCTTTTTTTTCTCCCTTTTCCGTTCTCTCTTTTTTTCCCTTTTCCGTCTCTCTTTTTTTTTTTCCCTCTTTTTTTTCCTTTTCCGTTCTCTCTTTTTTTTTTCCCTTTTCCGTTCTCTCTTTTTTTTTTTCCCTTTTCCGTTCTCTTTTTTTTTTCCTTTTCCGTTCTCTCTTTTTTTTTTCCTTTTCCGTTCTCTCTTTTTTTTTTCCCTTTTCCGTTCTCTCTTTTTTTTTTCCTTTTCCGTTCTCTCTTTTTTTTCCTTTTCCGTTCTCTTTTTTTTTTTTCCTTTTTCTGTTCTCTTTTTTTTTTTTCCTTTTCCGTTCTCTCTTTTTTTTTTCCCTTTTCCGTTCTCTCTTTTTTTGTCTCTATGATAATGCTTACAACTAATTTTAAAATTATTTTTAAGATAAGTTAAAGATATATTTACAAAATTAGAAACTATATTGTTGATTTTTTTTTTTTTTTTAAATTTAAATATACTATGTTTTGCTTTTGAGATTCCACTTTCATCTATATTTGAACCAACCTTGTCAATTGGATCCTATTGTTATTTATTATAATACTGTAGGTGATTTTACTTTCTGATATATTTCACTCTTTCCATTAATTATATGCTTAAAACAAATTTTAAAATAACAAATTCGTTAAATAAATAATATAGACAGTTACAGCTGTTAAACAATATTAGTTTATTAATTTCTTTTTTCAGCAGATTAGAATATCTGATTTTTTTCTCCTTCATGTTTTTCATTCTTTATTTATAGAAAATAAAAAGTTTACTATCTTCATTTTAATATGGCAATTTTTTTGGGGAAAAAAAAAAGTTATTTCCTATTGTCATGTAATTTTTAATGACATTGTCTTTTAGGCCAACAGATTTTCTCATTTAGGGTTATTTTTTTTAAATCCTTGTTTGTATTTTTAGCTATGTCCATGTAATATATAAGATAATTTTAAAATAATGTATTTTGTTTTTGCTTCTATATATCATTTTAAATATTTTGAAGAAATGCTCAAATGATTTTATACTGAAGTGTAATTTACAAAATATAATTCATACTCAGTGACTAAATTTTCATTATCCATTTTTTTTTTTGTTTTTTTTTTTGTTTTTTTTTGTACTTTCTTTTTTTTATTATTTGTCCTATTTGACTATCTTATGTTTTTATTATGAGTTATATAATGTATGTATGAATTTGGGAAGAGTATGAGAATTTGCTGAAAAGTTCTTGCTCTAATCAAGAAGGGATTTTTTTTTTTTTTTTTTTTTAATTTTTAGATGTTTGGTCAAATTATGAAAGTTGGTTTGGCCAATAACTTACTTTCCAGCACCCACTCATATATCCATTTGATTTTTCTCATTGTCATATACTGTTTACTTACCAACTACTACTTCTTCATGTGGTTAAATTAAAATTTTACAACTAAATAGCATCCTACCCCATGAACTTAACAACATAGAGAACTTCATTGGAATCTATTGTAGTTGGCATGACTCTGTGGAATAGTTACATCAATCTTATTTTGCTTTATTTTACCAAAAGAAATTCAAACATTTTTTGCATGAAATTGACAAAGATATTATTGTGTGAATGTCTATTGTTACTTTCATTTTATTGAAACCAGCTTTCCTTCTATATTAAGAGCCTATTTTTTTCTACTTGAAAGAGCTTTCACATTATACTGGCTGTCTCTTTTCTTTCTGACACAGTTTTTTATTTTCCTTTTTTTAACACACTGATATTTTATATATATATATATATATATATATATATATATATACACACATGCACAATAGAAATTCTTTTTCATTATATAAATAACAATGCAAAATCTCTGCAAACATTCTGATTTCTTTTATTATTTTCCACATGGAACAACATTTTTTTAGAAAGTATTTTTAGAACAACTAAAAATTAACTTTCATTGATATAAAAATGCCAAAATAAGAAAGACTTCTACCATTTGTATTTATTTTTTTTTATAAGGTGTGTTGTGGTAATAACTTAATTTCTCTCTCACTTCTGCTTTCTCTACTCTTCAATTTCTATTCCTCTACCTTTACAAAATGCTATTTCTTCATGGTGAAAAGGACATTTTGAAAATGGATAATTCAGACGTTGCATTACCTCAGTTTTTCACAATTACAGTAATGAGGATTGAATTTGCTCATCTATTTACAACAAGCATTTGTTAGCATATATTTTAAACATCTAATTTTTTAAAATGGATGATAACATGTAGATAAATCTATATTATATTTTTATTTGTTTAATAAATAAAATAATATTGTTTCAGTGTTAATATGTAAAAATACTTTGTCTACATACAAGTTTTAAAGCTTAATAATAATGTTATTATACTATAATTTTATAGTTTTTATTTCGACCTACAACACTATTGCAGAGTTAAATCTGTTAGTCCTGACCTCCACAAAATTTGATGCTAATATACATTTGACTTTGTATTCACAATAATATAAATAAAAATTTTTATTTATATAGAATTAAATATATAATAATTCTTGTATTTTTTAAATTCTATTCAAACTATCTACATCTTTCTAAATTTCATAACCAATCATTGCTTTAATTTTATAATCTGGGTGATATATTTTCTTTTTGGTTTACCTTTGATAATGTAGTTTTCTCCATCACAACTACCCTTTTTCTCTCAAATTAGTTTAAAAATTTTAATACAAAACTGGTACTTGTATAATGTACTCTTATTTCCAAGTTCTCTTTGAATCTTGAAATGTGCATTGAAACATTTGACTATTTGGTGGTTAAAAATCTTGCTGAAAGTCATAATTCTAACGATTATCTTAATTTCTTGACAAGGTTAGTTTTATAATATGAACCTTTGCAGACAGTCCAAACTGATCTGTTAATGATGCGTATTCCTTAAACTCGGAATTTAAATAGATCTGAAGACTTGATACTGGGTTTATTGATTTTATTCTTTAGATGAGGTATTATGATTACTTGCATTATTTACATTATTCGGATTGTTGTCCTCATCTTCATTGCCATATTCATAACATTTTGGCCATTGTACATCTAGTTCCACATGCCATGCATCTTCCAGATGACTCAGTTATTTCCCTTTAACTCAACTCTCCAAGTTTTGGTTCACTGCTGTGGCCTGCTATGGAACTCATAACTCTTTGGGTCTAGTCACTGGATCTAACCAACATCTTTATCCACTGGGTCATGTGGATAAAGATATATTTGGTTAGAGTTGTGAGTTCAATACCAGGCCACAGCAGTGGTGAACCAAGAAACTGGAAAATTGAGTTAAAGGGAAATAACTGAGACATCTGAAAGAGGCATGGCACATGGAATTAGAACAATCTACCCCTGTGGAGAAAATAAAGGGTTAAGTTTGAAATTCCAGTCACCTGAAGAAAGCTGGAGTGTACAACAGCTGAAACGTTGTGAATATGGCAATGAAAATGAGGATAACAGTCCGAATAATGTAAATAATACAAGTAAATTCCATTGTAATCAGAAAATCTGCTGTTCTATCTTACTGTCAATATGAATAAATACAAAAATGCACATTTATGTTATTTTTCAGTAATTAAGTTTTCTTGTCTATATACTAATGTTTCTAAGAATGAGTTTATGGTTGCTATTATGGCGAGGTTAGTTTTCATTCATGTTTTTAACTGAGTCTATATGTAGATTCAAAATTAATAATACAAGCAAATGAAGAAAAGAATTCACTTATGTCTGAGAGAGACCAATTTGATAATTTTTTTTTTAATGAAAATGTAACCAAAATTCTAACCTAAACTTTATCATCAGGAAAAGAAAACACATGTGCCTGTCACTGTTAAAAAAAAAAAAAAAGACAATCAGTGCATACTTTTATTCCAGAAAGCTGAATTGGTTTAAATAAATACCTAGAAAACCATGTTTCAGAATTTGCAAAGATTATTTTAAAATAATAAAAAAAAAATACCTTTCCCTTATCTTTAAATGAAGACAAGGATTCAGGTTTCACTGCAACAATTGAATTTTCACAAATTTAATCATTTAACAAGCTATAGTTAGATTTTGATATGAGAATCAATTTTTGCTTTATAAAATCAATACGAAATATATTTTTGTTTAGTGAAGACATTATCATCTACACTATCAAATACCATTTATACTAGTGTATAAGTCATCATCACGTATAGTGTGATTCCTAATTGTTTTGCATTCATTTTTACCTCTCCAGAAAAAAAACAAACTTT